TATAGGTATTTGAAGAATTTAATTCTTCGTATTGTTAGCCGACACTGGGCAGTTGGTAAATAATTGAATAGAGTTGTTTAAACATTCAGCTAACAATGCGAAGAATTAAATTCTTCAAATACCTATAGCATGATAGGTTTCTTTTTTGTGAGTGTAAAACACTTAAATACACCATTTCGATGTAAATAAATGTGATCTTGAAGTCATAATTATTGGTCCTAACAGAGAGCACTAAAACTGTGAAATGACAATTACTGTAGATCAAAGGTGTTTGGACACTCGCGCAATTTATCGTCTTTACTGTGGGTGATTCTGGTGAAACTTGGCCCTTCTGTTTAAACGCAGCAATTAACAATTTCACACTGTAAAGTGGCTTGTCTTGTATAAACCACGACCAGTATAAGCTCATAACATGGGAAAGTTTGTGTCTGTAGCTGATGACTATACTTAAGTATTTTCAACTTTCCATTAGTTTGTCAGGTTGTAATGTCTGGCCGAGTAATTTTGGTTTTATATGCTTGTGCCATCATTGTTAGGCAGTGGAAAAATTGGTTACAATGCGAGTTTTGATGGGAAAAGAGCTCAATATGATCTTTGCTCTTTTGTTTTCGTAAAAGTCATCCCATGATTGGTACTAAAGTTAGTAAAAAACTACAAAAAATATTTTATAGAATTACAACTGTGAGTTTAAAGAGGAATTTTAAAGCCTAGAAAACGCCCAATGCATCTGACCATTTGCTTTTTTGAATTACTTGTCATCTGCAGGCTTAACGCAAACTATAAGCGGAGTCTGACTTTCCGTGGCAACACTGCATCGAAATATTTCTTTTATCCCATTCCTATGTGTAAATATTTCATTACATACACGTGTTTCTTTTGTCTCATTCCTATGTTTAAATATTACATTACATACATGTGTTTCTTTTATCCCATTCATACGAGTAAATATTACATTACATACATGTGTTTCTTTTATCCCATTCCTATGTGTAAATATTTCATTACATACACGTGTTTCTCTTATCCCATTCCTATGTGTAAATATTACATTACATACATGTGTTTCTTTTATCCCATTCCTATGTGTAAATATTACATTACATACATGTGTTTCTTTTATCCCATTCCTATGTGTAAATATTACATTACATACATGTGTTTCTTTTATCCCATTCCTATGTGTGAATATTACATTACATACATGCGTTTCTTTTATCCCGTTCCTATGTGTAAATATTACATTACATACATGTGTTTCTCTTATCCCATTCCTATGTGTAAATATTACACTGCATACATGTGTTTCCTTTATCCCATTCCTATGTGTAAACATTACAGTACATACATGTGTGTGTGTGAGAGAGAGAGAGAATGAGTGCCTCATTCTTCTTTGTATTTTTATCACAGAGTCTACTTCAAGAAAAACTTACTTTTGTGACAACATCCGTGAACCTTGCCCTAATGCAGCTTGTAGGTAGCAATCCTAGGGGTAGCAGGATGTCATAACTGTAACGAAGGGATATTAAAAATAGTCTGTTCGACATTACGTTGTAAAACTTTATCAATAACTATTTTTATACAATACAACTCTATACAGTTCGAAATAAGATAAAACACATAAATAACTGCTTATTTTAACATAATTGTTCTGGAATTTTCTGTATCCTACGTTGACATTCAAGGTTCGACACATAAAATTACAATAGGTTTATTTTTATTTTAACTTATGCCCAGTTTTATTGGTCTAACCTATAGAAGTGAACAAAACCTATATATTCAAAATATTAAATACACGCAAAATAGAATGAATCACCCGAGAGTATTAAATATATATAAATATTCAAAGCATCACCAGTATTGTATTATTGTTTGATTTCCTATTTACTATGGTTTTTGTGTGAATGTTATCATACTTTTAAGGCTGCTCTTCAGCCAATGGCTTACTTATACTGTTATATGTGGAGGATACAATCGAAGTCTTGCACTCTAATGTTAGTACGTAACCCTGGAGATTTCAAGGAAATTCTGAAAGTTTAAACAAAATATACACATATCACGCCTTTAAATTCTTTATCTTGATATTTGTGTTATAAAAATAACACCTACAAATCGTGTTAGGATTTTTAGGATACTTACCTGATATCTATATTTCTTGTATGATTTGATTTCAACTGTTAGAAACTAAAAGTAACCCTTAAAAGTATTGTTACGTCTCCGTTTGTTAATTGATTTTTCCGTAACTTCGTTCCGACGAAACTTTAACGACACAAGTCTTTA